CGTTCGGCGGACAGTCTTTCACGCAACGCACGAGATCTCGCAGTTGAACGGTAAATCAACTATTAATTTGAATTTATTCAGTTAATACACGAGTCTTTCATTACGACATGATTTGCATGATAATTCCTATTTACCATGCAATGCAATACAATACAACCAGACACGTTTTGAACGGGGTAAGGTCGGCTGCTGTTATATATATATATATATATATATATATATATATACATACAAGGTATGACCTATATTGAAATAATCTATTATGGTGAATAAAGTGAAAACTAAAGTGACGAATAAATACCAATTTGCATATATTTTCATAAATTAAATATGACTGATATAGGCTGTAACGATTCCCATTTACAAAGTTAACACCACATTGGTTCATAAATAATGTGAACAAGAGAATAAACGATGTGGAGTATCAATAACATAGAAATTATAATACAAGATATATCATTATATGCATACAACAAGTGCAATTTTACAAAGGCAGAACAAATTGCGTAGACATTATGTAGTTATGAAAGCAAAACTCAATATTGATTGTTAAATACAACATTGGTTGTATAGCTTTTGTTAGTAAAGTACAATCTCATCACAATTGTATGAAAATAATTCAGAAGCTCAGAAGCCTGAACCACTTATATCACGCATGTTAAAATTAAACTAATTTGTAAATCTGTGTTTTTCGTGAAACAAAGTAACAAATGAGTTTTATTGGTTATTAAATTTCAGTCGAATCACACAAATTATAGCCTAGCATAAACAGTGTGATATGTCTCATACTGACCTTGCAATCAAAATTATAACTAATACGATCATTCAATACAGCGAAACCGCATATACTGTAGTATACTATGCATGTCATAAATGCATGATCTCCTGATATGTCCCCTTGGTTTTCACTCCCCCACTTGTGTTTCCCCAAGTCAACAGACAACTATACATGAAAATCGTTGAGACCAATCACATCATGTTCGTTTCAATATGGTGAGATTATATATACAATTGTCTCAAGCATCTGTAATGTAAACATCACCATCGTCTACTATCACATTTCCACATCTATCAATAATATTGCATGGACACAGTTCTGTACAGGCTATACCACTTTGTGTACAAATACACTCTTCTACACAAATGCTTCTCGTCTTGGAACACGAGCAGAGCAGATCATCTATAATCTCTACTGCAGATGGGCCCATAAAAATATGAGTAAAATGCACCTAGTTTCTTCATTCGTCTGCCATTCATGTCCAACAGGAGATACAACATGTGGTTTGGCAATGTGTGATGACATCCACACCCGGGTTTGCCAAGATGCTCGTAACACATTCTGCTCAAAGCTAGGTTTGCTTGGTGGTAGTTTGTTGAGTGACTTTTCCTTCCTTTGAGCCAATCATGTTCTCATTTTACTGTCATCTGAATGAAATAATGTATCAGAAGAACCATTACATCTGTATCGGACGCCTGCGCTACAATATTTCCGATTACTTTGTTTCTTTGGAAAACTGAATCAGCGTGCATATCATGCAACAGTATCCTAGTGCCTGCTTCCTCGTAACTGGAAAAAAAGGTGAAATGCAAACATTTGTAAAACCTCCGGCCAGATATATGGTGTGTTGCAGAATCTGATTAAGATAATTTAATGACATATTTACTACATACTGAGACAAGAAGGCTGCAAGTGCTGCTCGCAGAAATTTTCACCATGGTAGCACTGCTCATCCACCAATGACTTGATACTGCTTTCCCTCTGGTCCAAGTGCTTGTCGTCTATCACGTTCTTCTTGTTTAATTGATTCTGGGTTGTAATACCTGTCATATACCTCAACAACAGTTCGCCCTTGAAAAACATTGTATCATTCCACTGAGGTACACCTTGGCTAGGTCGTCAAATGTTTTGATTTGATTACTATTCATAGACTGGATAATTGCCATTGCGTCTCTCATATACACAGTATCCCAAGCAGAGAATTGTCGGCAGGCTAACTACACTCTTCACCTTATCCTCTAGCTTGTGATCTAGATCAGCCTTTCTCGTTTTGCGCATCTGACCATCTTCATGGAACAGTGAAGTTAGTATTGCTGTTATTTGATATTGGGTATTGTAGGAGAAAGTCCATGGTTAGCTCCTGTGTCTTTGCTATGATCAAAGCTCTACGAAATATCAACTCTGATCTTTGTCATTTTGCTCATATCAGAGAATGTGAGAAGGCCAGATCTTGGAATGGCATCATATATTGTTTTCGTGGATGTTGACGAGAGTGATGATTGGATAAATGTTGCATGTTTCTCTTCTCCTTTGTCAGTGGCATTTAGTAAGGATGCTTGTACAACAGCACTTGCATGCAGTCCTGTGGCTATATTGATGAGGACATTCTCAGGATGGTTATCTACCTTAAATGGGCTTGTCATACTGTCAGATATGTGGCTAATCAATTTCTGAACATGCTGTTCATCACGTTTCATGGCAGCAGGATATTGTTGCTTGTGAGCATGTGAGTTATTTGTTTTTATTCCACTACGTTCCTTCATGGAGTTGTCATAAGCACTTAGCAAGTGACGAGTCAGGGTCCAACAAACCAAAGCAGGCTTTTTTCTGGTGAGTCCAATTATTCCACTGTCTCCTTTAGCATCACGGATTATGGTTTTCTCTGTGCCCATATGCCATTGAATCTACCTACTGTTTGTCGCACTGAAAACTGTCCACTTTCAAATAAAGTCTTGATGTTATCAGGTATTTCTATCATGCTCAATAGGTAAATCGATGTCCATCTCGAATAGTTAACTCTGGCACAAACAAAGAAATATGGCAGCATGTCATATACATAGATCAGTCACCTTCATTTTCATGTTCATCAACAATGTCGATACTGCACAAAGAAACATCACCCAGAATTTGAAGGTAGGAGATTGTGTAGACTCCCTTTTTTCATACCTTTTCAAATTTGGAAGTACATGTTTTGATAAAACATTCTCCAAGCCAGTGACAGATTTTTCACAGCACATGCCAGAGAAACGTCAAATTCTACAGTTTCTAGTTTTTCACATACTACAGTTGGAAGCGCAGTTGGACACCACTTGACATATTCATTATTATTGGGTGCTGTTGCAGCCATCTTCCCAGTTTTGCGCGTACTAAGAGAATCAATTGGAGATGTGTTCTGGCGTGACATTCCTGCTTTGCAGTAGATAACATTAGTTTTACTCGTGTAGCTTGCATAACAGCTTCTATGGTACAACACTGTATTCTCCGGTTGATCACTGGCTGACTCAGAAGAGCAACATATCTCTGATGAACTTGCAATTGTTCCTTCCACTCCTCTGAGACCCTCGAGAACATCATCATTTCTTTCTTCAGATGTCCTGAACAAAGTACATTTCCCAGCCTCACGTGCTTCACCGAGTTTCTCCTTGGTTAGAGTTTGGCAGATGATACATTTATTATAGTTAATCAAAAAACTTTTCCGCTTTGCAGGAACTTTGAGTTTTAATGGACTTAGTTCAGAAGTCATGTTAATGTTAAAGAATACAACTGCTGCTACATGTTCATCTGTGGCTACTGTACAAGTAGTACAACACTTTATCACCACTTACTCAATACAATAATTCTATGAGATAAATAAAATCAAATATGGTATTATGCTCATCATCTGTATCAATTTACTATACTGCATATAACATACAACCATAACGTTATTACAAAATTATTGAATAATCAATCAAAACAGAATAATTTAATCTTTGTACAGCGAATTGCTTGGCAATGAGTTTGATCTACTGAATACCAGTTAGTTACTCACTGATTCTGCTGTTATTATTGAAAGACTACTCAATAATCGCATTATCATTCGATCGAGATACAGTTCAGTGTTTATGATTATCGTCATGTTCCTTTAAGTTGATATTGAAGCTGTCACTTGTTAAACATAAATGTATTGAACAATTAAAATTAGAATGAAAATGACACCACTTATAAAAAAATAAATATACATTTAATTTATTCATTAGTATTTTGTTTAAATAACTCTTGATTATAACAGCAAATTACTTCACTTCACTGATTAAAATATTGACAAAGAAAATCAATCGTCAAAAAAATTAATTAATATTGAGTATACTTAAAACCAATTACAAAATGTAATAATGCTTATTATTAAGTTATAAATACATACAATTACAACAAATGCAAATCACTTTTTTGTTAATGGTATCAGACTGCTGCAGAAAGATCACTTTTAAAAATACAATACAGCTACAGCAATAATAAATATTATATAAAACAATGCTTATAATCCATTAAAAACTGCAATATAAAAATATGACATTGATTGTGGTAACCCAAAAACAATTTGTTGGGCATCCAAAACCACATACATTGGCAGCCATATTTCATTTATGCTAATATATGCTAATTTATGTAAAATAAACATAATTTGTTGGAATATTATAACCAATGTCATCCCAGATGTATGTATGTAGTATAAGTACAATTGTGAACTACATGTTTGAAAATTATTAGTAATAACATGCATACATTGAACAAAAAGTTGGCAAAAAAACGAAATAGTATATGTGTATATACCCCTGTTTTTCCAGAAAATTACACCACGTCACATTAGCACTACAGACTTTTTCTGAAAGCCAATGAAATATGCTTCAAAATAGTAAATGATGTGATAGTGTGTAGCGGGGTGCATTAAAAAAATCCGGTTCCTATCGCTCGCTTAATTTTACATCCCACTCCACACAATATATACTTTAGTAACCTGCCACAATATATACTTTAGTAACCTGCCAGGGCCGATATGATGAATGCATTTATAATGATCTATGTATGAGTTGTATTCTACTAAATACACTCACACAGTTCTGTACGGTCACATGACATGTTTATTCATAGGGCAACGATGGTTACTCCTATGCGCAGATTATATCTGTGTTTCAGTATCTGCGCTGCGTGTTGCGTTCTAAAAGTCATGTATTTTAGCTCGATGCTAGTACCGCATTTAAACATACACAGGTAAGTTAACAATACTGACAATAGTCCTACTGCCTATCAAATTATAATATCACTTATGATACGTTATGAGATTTAATATGATATGATCATATTATTATATGTATTTACATTTGTTTTATTTGATTTGTTGTATTTTCAGAATTTTAATGACTTTCTGCTGTGACAGTCCTTGTTGTAATAAAAATAAAATGCGATGTATCAGTTTAGAACTACATGCCACAATATGCCATATATGCTGACGATTACATTAATTTAAGAAATACACCACCGCAGTCAAGTTCATGATGCATATGCTCGAGTCGCGCAAATCCTCATTCGTATTTCTCTAGTGCGCTGTGAAGTTCACTGGTGTAGTTTCGTGTAAACAAGAACGTTTATATATTTGGATATGAAAAATATACAGGCAGTGCAGTACGCGGAGGTCCGACATCAAAATCGGGTTCACAAGCGAGGCACATACTGCGGACGACAATCATTTTTTGACGTAATTCCAAAAATTCTCAAAGCCCAAAGTACTCAAATGTACTTCTTTGATTGTTATTCAATTTAATATTTATGTTCATTATTAAATTAATATTTGTTGCCGATTTTACTTGACAGCAGAATGTACTCATACTGTATGTTATCCATGTTCGAGGCATTCTTCTGAATCGTGGTATGTCGTCCATTCGGACATATTTGCCAACTGCCACCGAATTCAAAGGCGCGCTAGCAACACGTCCGATATAGAAAATGTATTGAACAATGTATATAATTACAAATATACAAAACCTCCGTATTCAAACATCAAAACAATCAATCTCACTACACAATTATAAATACTAAATAAATACTAAATAATAAAGTATAAATTGTCAACAATGTGAGCAGTAGAAAAGACTTCTTTAAAAGCTCTATACATGAATAACAAAAGTGGCGGAAATCACGTGCACTGCGATATAAATACAGCAATTAATACTTTTAATAAATCATATAGTTTGAACAACATAATAAACATCAGGTAACTGCATGGCCGGGAAATTATTAATGGTTATTAATGTAGTGAACGATCAATCAAAAGATATGACGTATTCAGTACTTGGTATGATTGGCTTTATGATTGAAGGTTACGCCCTAGAGTCTTTTTACTGCTTTGTAATTGGTTAGAGTTTTGAAAATGAATAAAGTTGTTTTTAGTTGGTCTTGGCGAGTACACCACGACAGACGCAGTCCAGTCCTAGAGAGTCTTGGGGCGAGTCTAAGTGCAGTCCTAGAGAGTCTTGGGGCGAGCCTTGAGG